AGGCAAAATCCACATAAAATGATTTAAAGAGATACCCTAGGGCAAAATGGCAGAAACAGGAAGAAAAACAGAACTAGAAGACATTCCTTTTGTACCCTCTACTTCAGCAAAAGCATATCTTTAAGATTTAAAGAAACAGAAATAGAAAAAGTGTAGGTTCCATTCTACAATCTTTTCAATTCTAAGGTGAATAAATCCATTCTTTCGTAGAAAGCTATAGTAAAATATATATAGTACTGGCTGTGTTTACATGTTCTAAAAACTACTATACCAAAGCCCATCTGGTATTATTTCTTTTTTCAAGAAATATTATTTGTTTTTCCAAGCCTCATTTAAATATACACTGTGCTTCAGTTTATTCATCAGCAGGATAGTACTGATGTCAACATCTACTGTATGGGGCTTTTGTGAAGATTAAATAAATCTGCATATGTAAAGCACTCAGATGAATGTTTGGCCGAGAGTAAACACTGTTATTTTGTTTTCCTTTTGTCAGTAGGAAATTTCTTATGATGACAGAATTTAGGACATGACACCAGAAATACACATAATTTCTCCATGTTGAAGAAAGTCTTGCGCCGGGGATATAGCTCAGCGGCACAAACACCTCCCTAGCAAGCGTAAGGCCCTAAGTTCGATTCCCGATACCAAAAAGAAAAAGAAGAAGAAAGTCTTGAAATCTTAACTAGTACACAGTGAGCAGAAGCAGCTCAGAAAGTAAGTGGCAGGAGGGACTGGCTAGCGGATAATGTTAATGCTGAGCTTCTGTCATATTTAAACCCAGGTGCAGGAGGCACATAATGGCCTTTTACAGATATCCAACTCTAACCGCTGGAACTTGTGAATATGCTACTTTATACAGCTAAAGAGATTCTGCAGATGTAATTAGGAGTTGAGACCTTGACATGGTAGATTATCCTGGATTATTAGGATGGCCCCAAATTATCAACTGAGTCTTTGTAAGCAGAGAAGCTTTCTTGCTGCGACCAGAGAAAAGTGGTGATGAAAGAAGGGTCAGAGAGATGCCCAATGAGGGCTACACTAGCCTTTGAAGATAAAGAAGGTGCGACTAGGAATACAAACAGTGTCTAGGAGAGGAAAAAAGCAGAGAACTCCAGACAGAAATGCAGCCCACCCTGCGGCTTGAGACAAGCTCCAATTCCAGTTTCAGATTTCTGGCCTATAGGACAGTCAAACTGGAAATAATTTTTTTTTTTTTGTCTTTTTGAGACACGGTCTTGCTATGCAGTTCAGGCTGGCTTTAAGCTCATGTAATCCAGACTGGCCTCGAACTTGCAGCAATCCTCCTATCTCAGTCTCCCTAGTGCTGGGGTTACAGACATATGCCACCGTGCTCAGTTTATGGAGTGGTAATTTTTTGAATGAAATTTATTTGGTCCTGCTTTTTGTTTTTTACCCAAAATTCAGTTAATGAGAGGCTGGGAATACAGCTCAGTGGTATACTGGTTGCCTGGCATGCACAAGGCTCTGGTTTCCATCTATAACAGTGAAAACAAATTCAGGTAATGTTATTTTCTGACCTTATTCCTGCCAGGCATGGTGGTGACCTCCTGTCATCCCAGCACTTGGGAGGGGAGGCTGAGTCAGGAGGATCGTTGCAAGTTTGAGACCAGCCTGGGCTACAAAGTGAGCTCAATGCCAGTCTGAACTGCACAGCAAGACCCTGTCTCAAATAGACAACAGAACAAAACAAAACCAAAAAAATCCTTATTCCTAAAGTATATGGATGGTGTAGAATCTTAAACATCCACTATTGAAACAAAGTTTAACAAATGCATACAATAATACTAACATAATGTAATACAATAAAATGACTATGGTGCACCTCAGTGAAGTAAGGGATCAGAGACTGTCTTACTCACAGCCATGTATCCAGCACAAGCACAGTTACCTCGTCTGACTGATTAGAGACACAGCTACCACATAGACTTGCTGATAGTAAAATTCTGGAAGTTCCTAACAGAGACATTATTAAATGTCTTCTCTGTCTGTGCAGGGCACAGCGCTGGGTGCTGGGCTATGAAGATGATTAAGACAGTTCACCTATTGTTTGGGAGCTTCATTCTACAGAAACTCCACAAAGCCTGTGTAATGGAGCCGAAATGACATGGAGCTCAACACAGGTGCTCAATAAACACTCAGTTTGTATGGCACTTAATACTTTATAATGCCGTTTTCATAAACATCATCCCATGTGAAACAAAGGATACAAAACATTTTATGAGAATCCAAAAGGTCTTAGGTGTTCAGCAGATGAGCTGATTTGTTGGGATGAATAGGCAGAACTTAAAGAGAAAGGTGGAATTTGCAAAAAGTGCTGTGATTTGAATGTGTTGCCTGCAAAATCTGGGACTAAAACGTGGAGCTATGAGAAGGTGATGAGGGGATGAGGCTTCCACCCTCATGGATGATGTGGTATTTCTATAAAAGGGCTTAAGGCACCCGGCTAAATTCTTTTGCCTTTACCGCTCCTGTCATGCGAAGACCCAGCAACAAAGTGCCACCTTGGCAGCAAGAGACTGGGCCCTCAGAAGACACCAGTCTTGATGACGTCTTGACTTTTGCCTTCCCAGTTTCCTGAATCTGAGAAAATGCGTTATTTTTTATCAGTTAATTTTTGACTGATACATAAAACCGTAAATATTGCCTATATTAATGGGGTCCCATATGCTATTTCAGTACATGTTTACATTGTGTGATGTTTCCATTGGTGTGCTATTACACAACACAGCGGCTGTAGATAATAATAATATATTGGGGCCGGGAATTTAGCTCAGGGGCACAGCGCCTGCCTGGCAAGCGCAAGGTGGTGAGTTTGATTCCTGGTACTGGGAAAAAAAAAACAAAAAATAACAAAAAATAAAAAAATATATTGTACATTTCAAAATACTGGAAGGATTTTGAAAGTTTTCACCATAAAGAAGTGATACATGAGGAAACTGTCACATTTAACGTGATATAATCTGTTCTTTATAAATTATCCAGTTGGTGGTATTCTTTTATAACAATAAAAACATGAAAAGAGTAGAACATAGAAGGGTAGGAATTTTATAGGCAAGGAGATATACAAGCAAAGAGTTTAGCAAAAGCGTGTCCTGAGTAACCAACCACATGTTGCTTTATCTATGTTCACAAACCATACGCTTACCAATCCTCTGCATTTTGTGAATCTTGATGTCTATAATCTTTGGAGTGAACACTCATATATTTTTGAAAATCTGGAGGACATTTTTTCCATCCTTAATCTCTATGCATATGCATAATGGATTCTGATGCTCATAAATCGAAATTACACGACAGCATCAATTTATTCACAAATGCTTTTTGAACCCATGACATCTGCAAGACTTTGCATCTGGTATCCCTGTAGCTATTAAGATGACAATACAATTTTTTATATTTTAAATTTTTTGTCTTGGTCTTTTTGAGACAGCGTCTCACTATGCAGTTCAGGCTGGGCTTGAGCTCACTGTGTAGCTCAGACTGGTCTCGAATTCCCATGATCCTCCTGCCTCAGCCTCCTGAGTGCTGGGATTACAGGTGTGCACCAACCACAATTATCTTATGTGTGCAAAGAAATATCTTACAAAGCAAAACGCTGTGCCAAAACCAAGTCAAAGCTGGACTCATTACTGGAGAGCCGAGAGGGGGAACCTGTGCAACCCTCCCACTCATTCTCTTCCTATAGTTAAATCAGATTTGGAGATTTGATCTTAAAAGAAAAAAAAAAACACAATTTTGTGTGTGTGCTGGGACTCGAACTCAGGACCTCACGCTTGCCAGGCAGGCGCTGTGTGGCTGAGCCATATCCCCACCTAACTGTTCTTTTAAAACCTGCTCTTTAGTATGGCTTGCAGGGTTTATGCCCTTTCCAACTCAAATGTGTTTTTCTTTATCTGATGATTGAGGCAGGTGGGAGCAGAATGCCTTTCTGCTCTGCCATCAGGTTAAATGCACGTCACATGCACATCATCTGGAGAGCATTTACCCAGGCCTATATTATTTTGTCCTTTATTATTTTGTTGAGTACATCGTACCTGTAGGGGCAGGCTTCAGGCAGACCTATTGCCCACGGGCTGGTGACTCACTGTTCTGCCACTTTGCCTAATCCTCAGAATGGCCCTCAAACCGGACTGTCTTATCTGCGAGTTACGCACATAACTGATCCTCAGAAGAAGTTTCCCAAGGTCTCAGATCGCTTAACGGATAGACCTTGGATTTGAACATTACTATTTTTGACCTCAAAGCTTGTCTTTCCAAAACATATTAACCACGATAAAACGTATTTTAATAGTTTTAAAAAGAAATCTCGGTTCATCAAAAGGTTTTGTGTTCTAGCTCATGTACTCCATTATTATTTACTTGCCCTTTCAGGCCTAGGATTATTAGGTGGCTTCTCCAGCAGTCTTAACTCTTTTCATTATTGCTATGATCTTTTTTTTTTTTTTGTACCGGGAATTTTTCTGTCCTTTTTTGACAGGGCGCAGAAATCCCTTTCGCGATAATTTGAATTTCAAGGTGTCATAAACTCTGGTTTTTAAATTGTTTTTTGATAGAGACAGGTAGTGCTGGAAAAGCAAAAGTGGCTTAGTTAACCCGAGTTTGTTTTCCAGTAGTATCTTTCCGGCAGATCTTCCTGCTACCTTTTAAAATCCCTGGTTCTTGCTTGGCACGGCCGGAAATAAGGGGTTCCGCTAGTGACCAACCGCCCCCCCTCTTCGCTCCGGTCCGCAGAGCTCAGCCCCGCCCGGAGAGCTCCGACCGGTCCTGAGAGTTCAACCCCGCCCCGAGAGCTCAGCCCCGCCCCGAGAGCTCAGTCCCGTCCCAAGAGCTCAGCCCCGCCCCGAGAGCTCAGCCCCGCCCCGAGAGCTCAGCCCCGCCCCGAGAGCTCCGACCGGTCCTGAGTTCAGCCCCGCCCTGAGAGCCCCGCCCCGCCCCGAGAGCTCAGCCCCTCCCCGAGAGCTCAGCCCCGCCCCGGAGGCGTGGCAGCCGCGGGCCTTGGAGCGGGCAGCGGGGGCATTTATAGGTCACGCGGGGCGGTGTCGCCCGGACTCGCAGCTGGAAGCCGGATTCGTGGAGAGCCCGCCGGCCCGGGCCCGCGTCCCTCGCTACCGTTCGCCCTCGCAGAGCCCGCGTGGCCGCTGCGGGGCGGCCTGTGTCGCACGCGCAGCTCCCGACCTGGGC